GCGGAGGCGCTTGGGGGCACTCGGGGCTCCGGCCGCAGAGGGCTCGGGGGTGCTCGGGGGCACTTGGGGAGGGGGCAGGGGGCTCGGGGGCGGAGGCGCTTGGGGGTTCGGGGGCACTCGGGGCTCCGGCCGCAGGGGTCTCAGGGGCGGGGGCGCTCAGGGGCACTGGGGTCTCGGGGGCGGGGGGGGCTCGGGGCACTCGGGGCTCCAGCCGCAGAGGGCTCAGGGGCGCTCGGGGGCACTGGGGGCTCGGGGAGGAGGCAGGGGACTCGGGGGCACTCGGGGCTCCGGCCACAGAGGGCTCGGGCACTCGGGGGCGCTTGGGGAAGGGGGGCAGGGCTCTTGGGGACATTGGGGTCTCGGGGGCACTCGAGGCTCCAGCCGCAGAGGGCTCGGGGGCGGGGGCGCTCAGGGCCGCTCGGGGGAGAAGGCGGGGGGGCTCGGGGGCACTCGGGGCTCCGGCCGCAGAGGGCTCGGGGGCACTGGGGGCTCGGGGAGGGGGCAGGGAGCTCAGGGGGGGCTCGGGGACACTCGGGGCTCCGGCCACTAGGGGCTCGGGGGCACTCGGGGAGGGGGCAGGGGGGCTCGGGGGCACTGGGGTCTCAGGGGCACTCAGGGCTCAGGCGCTCGGCGCCACTCGGGGGAGGGGCCAGGGGGCTCGGGGGTACTCGGGGAGAGGGCGGGGGGGCTCGGGGGCACTCGGGGCTCCAGCCGCAGAGGGCTCGGGGGCACTGGGGGCTCGGGGGCGCTCAGGTAGGGGGCAGGGGGCTCGGGGGGCTCAGGGGCACTTGGGGCTCCGGCCGCAGGGGTCTCGGGGGTGGGGTGCTTGGGGAGCACTGGGGTCTCGGGGGCGCTCGGGGGAGGGGGCAGGGGGCTCGGGGGCGCTCGGAGCTTCGGTCGGGGGTGGGGGCACTCGGGGAGGGGGCAGGGGGCTCGGGGGCGCTCGGGGAGAGGGCGGGGGGCTCGGGGGTGGGGGCGCTCGGGGGCACTGGGAGGTGCGGTGGGCTCGGGGGCACTGGGGTCTCGGGGGCGGGGGGCGCTCGGGCAGGGGGCTCAGGGGCACTCGGGGAGAGGGCGGGGAGCTCGGAGGCGGGGGGGCTCGGGGGCGCTCGGGGGGGGGCGGGGGGCTCGGAGGCAGGGGGCTCGGGGGCATTCGGGGGCACTCAGGGCTTGGGGAGCTCGGAGGCGGGGGGGTCGGGGGCGCTCGGGGAGAGGGTGGGGGGCTCGGGGGCGGGGGCGCTCGGGGAGGGGGCGGGGGTGGGCTCGGGGGCTCGGGGAGGGGGCGGGGGCTCGGGGGCATTCGGGGGCACTCGGGACTCGGGGAGCTCAGAGGCGGGGGGGCTCGGGGAGAGGGCGGAGGGCTTGGGGAGGGGGCGGGGGGCTCGGAGGCGGGGGGGCTCGGGGACGCTCGGGGGAGAGGACGGGGGGCTCGGGGGCGCTCGGAGCTTCGGTTGTAGAGGGCTCGGATGCGGGGGGCTGGGGGTGGGGCGCTCGGGGAGAGGGCAGGGGGCTCGGGGGCGCTCGGGGGCAGGGGCACTCGGGGGCACTCGGGGAGCTCGGAGGCGGGGGCTCGGGGGCGCTCGGGGAGAGGGCGGGGGCACACGGGGCTCGGGGAGGGGACGGGGGGGCTCGGAGGCGGGGGGGGCTCGGGGGCGCTCGGGGGAGAGGGGGGGGGCTCGGGGGCACTCGGGGGCGGGGGCACTCGCGGGCACTAGGGGGTGCGGGGGGCTGGGAGGCACTGGGGTCTCGGGGGCGCTCAGAGGCGGGGGGGGCTCAGGGGCGCTCGGGGAGAGGGCGGGGGGCCTCGGGGCGGGGGCTCTCGGGCAGGGGGCTCGGGGGCACTCGGGGAGAGGGCGGAGGGCTCGGGCGGTCGGGGGGCACTCGGGGCTCGGGGAGGGGGCGGGGGGCTTGGAGGCGGGGGGCTCGGGGGCGCTCGGGGAGAGGGTGGGGGGGCTCGGAGGCGGGGGCGGTCGGGGGCACTCGGGGAAGGGGCAGGAGGCTCGGAGGGGGGGCGCTCGGGGAGAGGGCGGGGGGCTCGGAGGCGGGGGCGCTCGGGGGCGCTCGGGGAGAGGGCGGGGGGCTCGGGGGCTCGGGGAGAGGGCGGGGGCTCGGGGGCGGGGGCGCTCGGGGAGAGGGCGGGGGGCTCGGGGCGCTCGGGGCCCCAGGGGCGGGGGCTCGGGCGCTCGGGCAGGGGGCTCGGGGGAGAGGGCGGAGGGCTCGGGCAGTCGGGGGTACTCGGGGCTCGGGGGAGGGGGCGGGGGGCTTGGAGGCGGGGGGGCTCAGGGAGAGGGTGGGGGGCTCGGAGGCGGGGGCGGTCGGGGGCACTCGGGGAAGGGGCAGGGGGGTCGGGGGTGGGGGCGCTCGGGGGCACTGGGGTCGCGGGGGCAGGGGTACTCGGGGGCACTCAGGGCTTGGGGAGCTCGGAGGGGGGGGGGGTGGGGCTCGGGCAGGAGGCGGAGGGCTCGGGGGCGCTCGGGGCGGGTGCGGGGGGCTCGGGGGCGGGGCGCTCGGGGCCCTCGGGGGGCTCTGAGGCAGGGGGGCTCAGGGGCGGGGGGCTCGGGGAGAGGGCGGGGGCCCCGGGGCGGGGGCGCTCGGGCAGGGGGTTCGGGGGCACTCGGGGAGAGGGGCGGAGGGCTCGGGCGGTTGGGGGCACTCGGGGCTCAGGGAGGGGGCGGGGGGCTTGGAGGTGGGGGGGCTCGGGGGCGCTCGGGGAGAGGGTGGGGGGCTCGGAGGCGGGGGCGGTCGGGGGCACTCGGGGAAGGGGCAGGGGGGTCAGGGGTGGGGGCGCTCGGGGGCACTGGGGTCGCGGGGGCAGGGATACTCGGGGGCACTCGGGGCTTGGGGAGCTCAGAGGCGGGGGGCTCGGGGGCGCTCAGGCAGGAGGCGGAGGGCTCGGGGGCGCTCGGGGCTCGGGGAGAGGGCGGGGGGGCTCGGGCGCTCGGGGGAGAGGGCGGGGGGCTCGGAGGCGGAGGGGCTCGGGGGCGCTCGGGGAGAGGGCGGGGGGCTCGGAGGCGGGGGGGCTCGGGGAGAGGGCGGGGGGCTCGGAGGCGGGGGCGCTCGGGGCTCGGGAAGGGGGGCTCGGGGGCGCTCGGGGTGGGTGAGGGGGGCTCTGAGGCGGGGGGGCTCGGGGGAGAGGGGGGGGCTCGGGGGCGCTCGGGGCCCTCGGAGGCGGGGGGGGCTCAGGGGCGGGGGGCGCTCGGGGGAGAGGGCGGAGGGCTCGGGGGCAGGGAGGCTCAGAGGTGGGGGGGCTCGGGGGCGGTCGGGGGAGAGGGCGGGGGGCTCGGAGGCGGGGGGCGGTCGGGGGCGGGGGGCCCAGGGGCGGGGGCTCGGAGGCGGGGGGGCTCAGGGGCGGGGGCTCGGGGGGCGGTCGGGGAGGGGGCAGGGGGCTCAGGGCGGGGGGGGCTCGGGGGCCCTCGGGGAGAGGGCGGGGGCTCGGGGGGCTCTGGGGCGGGGGGGCTCAGGGGGGGGGGCTCGGGGAGAGGGCGGGGGAGCTCGGGGGGGGGGGGGGGGCTCAGGGGCAGGGGGCTCGGAGGCGGGGGCTCTGAGGCGGGGGGGCTCAGGGGCGCCGGGGGTCTCAGGGGCGGGGGTCGGGGGCGCTCGGGGAGAGGGCGGGGGCTCAGGGGCGGGGGCTCGGGGAGAGGGCGGGGGCCGGGGGCACTAGGGGTGGGGGGCTGGGAGGACTGGGGTCTCGGGGGGGGGGCGCTCGGGGAGCTTGGAGGAGGGGGGCTCGGGGGGGGGGAGAGGGGGGGGCTCGGGTGGGGGCGCTCGGGCAGGGGGCTCGGGGGCACTCGGGGAGAGGGCGGAGGGCTCGGGCGGTCGGGGGCACGCGGGGCTCGGAGGCGGGGGGGGCTCGGGGGCGCTCGGGGAGAGGGTGGGGGGCTCGGAGGCGGCGGCGGTCGGGGGGCACTCGGGGAAGGGGCAGGGGGCTCGGGGGTGGGGGCGCTCGGGGGCACTGGGGTCACGGGGGCGGGGGCGCTCGGGGGCAGGGGGTACTCGGGGGGCTCGGAGGCGGGGGGGCTCGGGGGCGCTCGGGGAGAGGGGGCGGGTTCGGGGGCTCCTGGGGGGCTCTGAGGCGGGGGGGCCCAGGGGCGGGGGGCTCGTGGGCGCTCGGGGAGAGGGCAGGGGGCTCAGGGGCAGGGGGCTCGGGGGCAGGGCGGGGGGAGGGGCGGGGGGCTCGGAGGGGGGGGCTCGGGGGGGGGCGGGGGCTCGGGGGCGGCTCGGGGAGGGGGCGGGGGGCTCAGGGGCGGGGGCGCTCAGGGGGGGGGGCCGGGGGGCGCTCGGGGAGAGGGCGGGGGGCTCAGGGAGAGGGCGGGGGGCTCGGGGGCTCTGAGGGGGGGGGCTCAGGGGCGGGGCCTCGGGGAGAGGGGCGGGGGCTCGGGGGCGCTCGGGGAGAGGGCGGGGGGCTCGGAGGCGGGGGCGCTCGGGGCTCGGGAAGGGGGGGCTCAGGGGCGGGGGGCTCTGAGGCGGGGGGGCTCAGGGGCGGGGGGCTCGGGGAGGGGGCGGGGGGGCTCGGGGGCGCTCGGGGAGGGGGCGGGGGCTCAGGAGGCGGGGGGCTCAGGGGCGGGGGGCTCGGGGGGCTCGGGGAGGGGCGGGGGGCTCAGGGGTGGGTGTGGGGGGCCCAGGGGGGGGGGCTCGGGGGGAACGCGAGAGGGCCCCGGCCTGTCATGGCTGTTAGCCGGCCACGAACCCCCGCCCCCGGTGCCCGGGAGCCCCCGCTGCCCGCCCCGCTCCGGTCACTCCCCCTCCAGCACCCGGCCCGGCCGCCCCTTGCTCTGGCCCCGCTGGCCGCTCTGGGGAGGCCGGACAGCGCAGCCCCCGGGGACCCCCCGAGCGCCCCCGAGCGGGCCGGGCTGCGCGCCACCTTCCCGGGGGGAGACACGTGGGCCCGGAGTCACGAGGGGGAGGGGCCCGGGCTGAAGGGGCGCGCGGGGGACCCTGGGGGAAGCGCGCGCGCGCGCTCCCGGGGAGGTCACGCGCGGTCTCGTCGGTGGGGCGCGCGGGCGGCTGGTGCGCAGGCGCGCTGGGCGCCCGTGTCCAGCATGGCGGCGGCGGCGGCGGCAGCGGAGGCGGGAGCTGGGGCCGCGCCCCCCGCGGAGGAGCCGGGCTCGGGGTCGCTGTGCGCGGCCCCGCTGCGCCTGGCGCGGCTGCCCCTGGCCCGGGTGAAGGCGCTGGTCAAAGCCGACCCTGACGTGAGCCTGGCCAGCCAGGAGGCCGTGTTCGTCCTGGCCCGGGCCACGGTGAGGGGCGTCCGGGGCCGATTGCCCGGGCGCTGGGGGTGCGCAGATCCGCCGTCCCCTTCTCCCTCGGCCCGGCAGCCCGGGGGGTGCCCATAGGTGGGGGAAGTGGGGTGCCTGGGTGGGGAGCACCCAGAGGGGGGTGGGGGGGTGGGGTGTGGGGGGAGCACACGTGTGGGTGCCTGTGGGGGGAGCACCCAGGGGTGGGGGTGGGGTGGGTGGGGGGAGTAGGGTGCCTGTGGGGGGAGCACCCAGAGGTGGGGGTGGGGTGCGTGTGGGGGGAGTGGGGTGCCTGTGGGGGGAGCACCCAGAGGTGGGGTGGGGTGCGTGTGGGGGGAGTGGGGTGCCTGTGGGGGGAGCACACACGGGTGGGGGTAGGGTGCCGGTGGGGGGAGCACCCAGAGGTGGGGGTGGGGTGCTCATGGGGGAAGTGGGATGCCCATGGGGGGAGCACCCAGAGCTGGGGGTGGGTGCCCACGGGGAGGCTTTGGGTCTGTCCTATTTCTGAACTTTGCTTTTCCTCTTGCGTTACACTCTGACTCTCTTCCGCTATTTCTTCTGTTTGCGGCTTTCCTCTCCTCCCTCTCTCCCTTTCTGAACTGCCTGCCCCAGGCAGCTTTTAGCTTTTTTCAGTGAAGCTGTGCTGGTCACCGCTGCCCTTGGATACACGTTGATTTATATTGTATTTGGCATCAGGTCAGTTACTTGCACTGGTCACAGGCAATAGGTCCTGCTGTCATTTAGGCAACACATGTTCCCGCCCCAATGTGAAACTGACTGGCGTGCTCTTTGGTGGCTGAAGTACTCTGTGCTTCAAAGCCTGAAGAATTTAGAATCACAGAAACGTAGGTGGTCAAGTTCAGTCCCCTGCACTGAGCAGGGCAAGTAAACCTAGGCCATCCCTGACAGGTGTCTATCCAGCCTGTCCTTAAAAACCTCCAGTGACGGGGATTGCACAGTTTCTCTTGGAAGCCTATTCCACTTCTTACTATCCGTATGTTTAGAAAGTTTTCCCTAGTACCTACCTAAATCTTTCTTGCTGCAGATTAAGCCCATTACTTCTTGTCTTACCTTCAGGTTTCAGAGTAGCAGCTGTGTTAGTCTGTATCCTCAAAAAGAACAGGAGTACTTGTGGCACCTTAGAGACTAACCAATTTATTAGAGCATAAGCTTTCGTGGGCTACAGCTCACTTTATCGGATGCATAGAATGTTAAATAAATTTGTTAGTCTCCAGCGTGCCACAAGTCCTCCTGTTCTTTTTGTCCTACCTTCAGTGGACGTGGAGAACCAGTGATCACGGTCTTCTTTATAACAGCCCTTATGTTTGAAGACTCTTGTCGGGTCCCCGCTCCGCTTTTTCTCACATGCCCAGTTTTTTTAATCTTTCCTCATAGGACAAGTTTGCTAAACCATTTATCATTTTTGTAGCTCTCCTCTAGACTTGCTCCAATTTGTCCATGTCTTTCCTAACACGTGGTGCCCAAAACTGGACGTATTACTCTGGCTGAGGCCTCACCAGTGCAGAGTAGAGAGGGACAGTTACCTCCTGTGTCTGACATACCTCGCTCCTGTTAATATACCCCAGAGTGATATTCACCTTTCTCACAACTGCATCATGACATTGGCTCATATTCAATTTGTGACCCACTGTAACCCACAGATCCTTGTCCATTTCAGATTATTGCTTATTTTCATGCACAAGCAACAAAGAGCCAGGCCATCATAATCTCAGTGTATAGCCCAGTGGACAGACCACTGGGCTCCAGCTCAGCCTCTGCCCTGCTGTATGATCTTGAGCAAATCACTTCACTTCTCTGTGACTCAGTTTCTCCATCTGTAAAATGGGGATAATGACACTGATCTCATTTGTAAAGTGCTTTGAGGCATACTGACAAAAAGTGCTAGATAAAAGCTAGGTAGTGTTATTAATCTGCACTCTATAATTCACACATAAAACTGTCACTTCCACATATGATTTACCTATAGGGCAGCAGTGAGATCTCTTACTATTGAAACTTTTTTACTTTTACAAAACATTACAGAACACTTACTAGCATATACCCAAGATTGTAAAAACCCTCTCAAAATAAGTAGAGAGAAATGCGCTTTAAGGTACAGAATCTGCTTTTTCAATTGAGATTGGTCAGTGTCATCAATTTGCAAAATCAGTTATTTGCAGCAAGTCTTTCCAGTTATTGGCATAAATTAGCACAGTTCTCTCCACTGTCTCCGCATAAACAAGACCAAATAAGAGATGCCAGACTGTTTTGAAACCCTTGAGTATTCAAGCGGCAAAGAGTCCTGTGGCACCTTAGAGATTAATACCCACTTTGTTGGATGCAACATGTATTCACCCACGAAAGCTCATGCTCCAATACGTCTGTTAGTCTATAAGGTGCCACAGGACTCTTTGCTGCTTTTACAAATCCAGACTAACACGGCTACCCCTCTGATACTTGAGTGTTCAAGAGATTCTTAGTCAGATCAGATCAGAGCCTGATCCTGCTAACACACAGCTGCATTTCAGGGAAACATTGTCCCCTGGAAGAACTTTTCATATATAATTTGAAACTAAAGTAAACTTCTCTGGTTGCAATGTAAAATAAGACTCTCTTAAAAAAATCTCCCTCTTCTCTTCTGGCCTCTACCCCACAACAGCCTCCTAGAGTTTGGATGGTGCCACAACATGGGCTGTGTCCGTGCCTCTCTTATGGCAAAGCAAAACTGAAAATAACCTGTTTAGGTTGTACAGCTTCCCCTGTCACTGTTTGCCTGTTACTAACAGCAATATTGGGTCCCAGAGGAACATGACTCTGAGATGATAGATGCAGTGGAGGATTAAGATTTGAAGTTAATTCTGGACTTGATCCAGTGGGGAGGCTGTCATCCTACAAGAAGCAGGAGAAGGGACTTTCAGTGCCCCAGGTACGGACTTGTGATGTTCGTTAATCTGATAAGAAGCCTGTGGCTGTAGGCTATGGCAGTGGTCCCCAACCTTTCTGTGGGAATAGCATATTCCTATTCCCAGAAGACTGTGGCGGGCGCCAGACACCCCGCCGCCGAAATGCTGCCGAGAAGCAGCAGTGGCAAGAAGCATTTCGGCAGGCGGTTCTTCTGCAGCTGCGCTCAGCGGCGGCATTTCGGCGGCACGGTATCCTGCGGGCGCGCACAACTGCCCCAGCGGGTGCCATTGCGCCCGCGGGCACTGCGTTGGAGACCCCTGGGCTATGGCATATTTATTATTATTTAACTGCTGACTGTGTGCTCAACACTTTATGGAACACCGAGCTCAGACAGTCTCTGCTCCAGGGAGATTACTGTTTAAACAAGAGACACAGAGAAGATAGGTTTCAGAGTAACAGCCGTGTTAGTCTGTATTCGCAAAAAGAAAAGGAGTACTTGTGGCACCTTAGAGACTAACCAATTTATTTGAGCTTGAGCTTTCGTGAGCTACAGCTCACTTCATCAGATGCATACCGTGGAAACTGCAGCAGACTTTATATATACACAGAGAATATGAAACAATACCTCCTCCCACCCCACTGTCCTGCTGGTAATAGCTTATCTAAAGTGATCATCAGGTGGGCCATTTCCAGCACAAATCCAGGTTTTCTCACCCTCCACCCCCCCACACAAATTCACTCTCCTGCTGGTGCTAGCCCATCCAAAGTGACAACTCTTTACATAATCAAGTCGGGCTATTTCCTGCATAAATCCAGGTTTTCTCACATCCCCCCTACCCCATACACACACAAACTCACTCTCCTGCTGGTAATAGCTCATCTAAACTGACCACTCTCCAAGTTTAAATCCAAGTTAAACCAGAAAATCTGGGGGGGGGAGAAGGGGGGTAGGAAAAAACAAGAGAAAACAGGCTACCTTGCATAATGACTTAGCCACTCCCAGTCTCTATTTAAGCCTAAATTAATAGTATCCAATTTGCAAATGAATTCCAATTCAGCAGTTTCTCGCTGGAGTCTGGATTTGAAGTTTTTTTGTTTTAAGATGGCGACCTTCATGACTGTGATTGCGTGACCAGAGAGATTGAAGTGTTCTCCGACTGGTTTATGAATGTTATAATTCTTGACATCTGATTTGTGTCCATTTATTCTTTTACGTAGAGACTGTCCAGTTTGACCAATGTACATGGCAGAGGGGCATTGCTGGCACATGATGGCATATATCACATTGGTGGATGTGCAGGTGAACGAGCCTCTGATAGTGTGGCTGATGTTATTAGGCCCTGTGATGGTGTCCCCTGAATAGATGTGTGGGCACAATTGGCAACGGGCTTTGTTGCAAGGATAAGTTCCTGGGTTAGTGGTTCTGTTGTGTGGTATGTGGTTGTTGGTGAGTATTTGCTTCAGGTTGCGGGGCTGTCTGTAGGCAAGGACTGGCCTGTCTCCCAAGACTTGTGAGAGTGTTGGGTCATCCTTTAGGATAGGTTGTAGATCCTTAATAATGCGTTGGAGGGGTTTTAGTTGGGGGCTGAAGGTGATGGCTAGTGGCATTCTGTTATTTTCTTTGTTAGGCCTGTCCTGTAGTAGGTAACTTCTGGGAACTCTTCTGGCTCTATCAATCTGTTTCTTTACTTCTGCAGGTGGGTATTGTAGTTGTAAGAAAGCTTGACAGAGATCTTGTAGGTGTTTGTCTCTGTCTGAGGGGTTGGAGCAAATGCAGTTGTATCGCAGAGCTTGGCTGTAGACGATGGATCGTGTGGTGTGGTCAGGGTGAAAGCTAGAGGCATGCAGGTAGGAATAGCGGTCAGTAGGTTTCCGGTATAGGGTGGTGTTTATGTGGCCATTGTTTATTAGCACTGTAGTGTCCAGGAAGTGGATCTCTTGTGTGGACTGGACCAGGCTGAGGTTGGTGGTGGGATGGAAATTGTTGAAATCATGGTGGAATTCCTCAAGGGCTTCTTTTCCATGGGTCCAGATGATGAAGATGTCATCAATGTAGCACAAGTAGAGTAGGGGCTTTAGGGGACGAGAGCTGAGGAAGCGTTGTTCTAAATCAGCCATAAAAATGTTGGCATACTGTGGGGCCATGCGGGTACCCATAGCAGTGCCGCTGATCTGAAGGTATACATTGTCCCCAAATGTGAAATAGTTATGGGTAAGGACAAAGTCACAAAGTTCAGCCACCAGGTTAGCCGTGACATTATCGGGGATAGTGTTCTTGACGGCTTGTAATCCATCTTTCTGTGGAATGTTGGTGTAGAGGGCTTCTACATCCATAGTAGCCAGGATGGTGTTATCAGGAAGATCACCGATGGATTGAAGTTTCCTCAGGAAGTCAGTGGTGTCTCGAAGGTAGCTGGGAGTGCTGGTAGCGTAGGGCCTGAGGAGGGAGTCTACATAGCCAGACAATCCTGCTGTCAGGGTGCCAATGCCTGAGATGATGGGACGCCCAGGATTTCCAGGTTTATGGATCTTGGGTAGTAGATAGAATATCCCAGGTCGGGGTTCCAGGGGTGTGTCTGTGCGGATTTGATCTTGTGCTTTTTCAGGAAGTTTCTTGAGCAAATGCTGTAGTTGCTTTTGGTAACTCTCAGTGGGATCATAGGGTAATGGCTTGTAGAAACTCGTGTTGGAGAGCTGCCGAGCAGCCTCTTGTTCATATTCCGACCTATTCATGATGACAACAGCACCTCCTTTGTCAGCCTTTTTGATTATGATGTCAGAGTTGTTTCTGAGGCTGTGGATGGCATTGCGTTCCGCATGGCTGAGGTTATGGGGCAAGTGATGCTGCTTTTCCACAATTTCAGCCCGTGCACGTCGGCAGAAGCACTCTATGTAGAAGTCCAGTCTGCTGTTTCGACCTTCAGGAGGAGTCCACCTAGAATCCCTCTTTCTGTAGAAGATAGGATGCTTTGGGAACAACAGAAGAGGGAATGACTAGGATTTTTTTTAAAAAGTGGTAATGTTGTTAATTTCCTTCTTGGGCATTGTGGAAGAAGTGAGCCATTAGGATGGATTTGAATGGCAAGAGAATGTAGCTTGACAGACCAGAATAGGGAGGTTATTCCATGCATAGCAGGAGCATTAAAGGCAGGAGGCAGTTGTCAGAGACGTGGCTAGGAATTGTTAGGGAGCAGAGCAGTAAGAGACCCATTTGGAAATGTAGGCAAGAGCTAAGATAACTTCCTTCTTAGCATCCCCTAGGAGGCAAACTAACCCGACAGGTGATGAGGAGTAGGCAGGGCGTGACTCAGTGACTCCTGCAGCTGCCATTAGAACTCTCTGGACACAGAGCGGGGAAGCATACTGCACCATCCCACGGAGCGGTCCAGTGTGCACGCCTCTGTCCTGGAGAATTCCAGGAGCAATTCTGCTTGAGTGGGGCAGCTCTATGCCACCTCCAAAATGAGCATGTGAATGAATTGCCTTGTAGGACCCTTAGAATGTTTCGTTCAGTCACTTGCTCCCATTGGAGAGCAATATCTCCGGCAGCCCTTTTGCAGAGATTTTGGCTGTATAATCCAGCTTCCGCTTTCATTCAATAGTCAGTCCATTTTCTGTCTTGGTTGTGAGACTTTTTCATTTAGATTGGTGCTGAGGCTTGTGTGGCTTTATTATCGTCTCTTTCAGGGCTCTTCCAGCTCTCTTTCAGTTACCCTCACTAATTATCCTGTTTAACTCATCTTATCTATTAGCTTCCTTCATTTTATTAATGTCACTTATTCTTCCTGGCTGACAGAGTAGCCTGCACTTTTCTCCCTTCCTGGATTTTTGTTGCAGGTTACCATGGTTTAGGGCAGATAATTTGACTTGAAGGCCTGTGATGATCAGCTTGCTCTGAATCTGACTGTAGCATATAAAAATTCTGCATTCCTGTGCCGTGGAAAAAGTGGCAGAAGAGAATAGAAATCTCTTTACATGTACGCATAAAGGTGCAATCATTTAAGGGCTTGTTTTATGAGAAGTTACATTTGCTGATTGGATCAGAAGACCTGAGGCAGATTTGCCAGGTTTCACATTTGCAGCATTGAAGCTGAATGTCACCGGTCATGCTCAACAAGTGCCTGTGCGTGCTGCGGGACGGTGTATGACAGCCTGTCAGATGGACTCTTGCCAGCCAGCGGGGAGCTGGCCAATCTAATACTGAATGGGATAGTGGGTGCCTCTTCTCAGGGAGCAAGATAAATCTCTCCTTAATAAGCAGTGCTTATAACCTTGCTCAGAAAATCACCACTTGCTATTATTTGCCTTGTCAGTTACAACCTGGTCTCAAACTTTCTCTTTTTAGAGCACAACAGTCTTGCTGTTTAGTTTCAGAGTAGCAGATGTGTTAGTCTGTATCCGCAAAAAGAACAGGAGTACTTGTGGCACCTTAGAGACTAACAAATTTATTTGAGCATAAGCTTTCGTGGGCTACAGCCTACTTCATCGGATATATAGAATGGAACATATAGTAAGAAAATAAATATATATATATATATATATACACACACACACAGAGAACATGAAAAGGTGGAAGTAGCCATACCAACTGTCAGAGGCTAATTAATTAAGATGGTCTCTAAGGTGCCACAAGTACTCCTGTTCCTTTAGCTGTTTAGTGTTTGTGAAACCATTAAGGGAAATTGTAGAAGCCCAGAATGCTTCAGCAGTTCAGTTGCTGAAGGTCCTGTCTGTCATCTCCCTATAGCAGGTTATGCTACCTCTGCATTGCCTTGTTTGGCCAAGATAGGGACCTGGATGATCATGAGCTGGGTAAGGCTCAGCCTGAACTCGAGGATGCTGGAAGGGAGAAGAGTCTGGAGAGTTGGTAGGAGGTTGTTTACTCCCTCTGTTAAAGGTGCATGTCTGCCCTTTGTCAAAGAATTCCACAACCTCGGGTTCTCCTAATTTGAGATTATAGTGGTGGCTATAAGTGCTGTCTAGGAGGTTGCAGACTTTGCTGCAGAAATCCTTTGTCACTTGCATGCAGAATTGCTATAATGTTCTCAAGGCTATCCTGGAAGAGCACTTGGGAGCTTTAGCTAGTGCAGAATGTGGCAACCCACTTTCTTAGTGCACCAGGCTGACGTGAGCACTGTACACCTCTGCTCTGCACTCGATTCCAGCTTGCTTCTGGTTGCAGTTCCAAGTGTTATGATTGATAGGCTGTAAATGGTCTCTCTGTGCCCTGATGAGATCAGCTGAGCTACTCTTGCTCTCCGTTCCAGTGGTTGTGCTCTTGTAGTCTGGTGTCTGGGCAGTGGAGAGTGTCTAGCTGTGGAATTTGTTCCCTCTTCTGATCAGTCAGAGCCTGGGTTCCATGTACTTCAGGGCACAGTACAAGATGTATTTATTTGCTGCAACTAAGAAGCTCATTTGGTGGTAGGTGGAGGTACTTATAGATAGGTTATTCTACATTGTCCATTGAAAGTTGTGCAGATATGACTGGCTCTCAGAAGGTGCAGTGATGGGCAGTTGGTAGCTGGTATCCCTGACAAATACTTACTTTGGATAGCAAAGCCTGCTAAGCTCAAATCATCAAATGTCATAATTTTGCAAGTTGCAGGTCCTGGGGTAGGAATATTAACCATGGGCCTCAGTAATCCATGAAAGTGGATAACTGGTTCACAGAATCAGAAAAGTATGTTGCATGTTCAAGTGTGATGTTTTGAGAGAGAAGAAAAGCAAGACTCACACTCCTTTCCCTAGAGACTAACCAATTTATTTGAGCATGAGCTTTCGTGCTCAAATAAATTTCGCGAAAGCTCATGCTCAAATAAATTGGTTAGTCTCTAAGGTGCCACAAGTACTCCTTTTCTTTTTGCGAATACAGACTAACACGGCTGTTACTCTGAAACTCCTTTCCCTCACCTCCAGATATACACAGGGACCTCTAAAGACAACCCTTCCCCCCGCCCCCGGCACCATAATAACACTTGTCCCTGATATGCAGTAATTGTCTAGTTTAAAGGTTTCATAGAATATTCTTAGAGCTGATCAATAGAAAGGGAGCATCTAGAGGGGGAGAGGGTGTAATTTTGTCCTTTAATCCTTCAGAGCTCAACTGTGCTTGTAACAACAGGTTGCAGTCACACCTTTCACTTGTTGTAACAATCTGTCTCTTCCATCCTGTAGGAGTTGTTTGTTGAAACCATAGCTAAAGATGCTTATGTGTATGCTCAACAAGGAAAAAGGAAAACTCTGCAAAGGAAAGACTTGGGTAAGAAGACCATTTTTGTTATGCTAACCTTTGTCAATAATGTTATTTGACTGAAGGCTCTTTCCAGACGATTCCATGTGTTTTGTGGCATTGTGGGTACAGATTTAAAACAGTTTTATCTTGTTCCCAGAAATGAAAAGAAAAAAGTTCTCTTCTGCCAAATATTACACTGTAAAATATTCCCCTTCCCCTCCCCATAGTCTCCAAAATGAATAAACCTATTTTTAAAAAGTCATTGTTAAAATCATATACTGATGTGTATAAAATATCTCTGCACTTGAATTGGTTTATCTATGCCAATTGTTTTCAATTCACTTTGTTTTACAGATAATGCCATTGAAGTTATTGATGAGTTTGCTTTTCTGGAAGGTGAGTTTCTGGTTGGTTTAATTTTGGTTTAATTTTTTGCATACATTGTCTCCATATTGACAGAGGGAGAGCAGATATTTGCAGATCTTTCTGTTTTGACTTCAGTTTAGTAATAGCTAGTGGCCCAACTACAAATGTGCCACTTGTCTTGGTAACATTTGAAATTCAGCATTCAAAACATTGAATTGAGGTGTGAAGTGGAACACCAGCAATGAAATACCTTTCAGGGAGATTTGTTCTTAGAATTTTGTGATCTAGTTAAGCTTTGATAAGTTAAAGCATCTTCCCTTGCCTGCTTGTAAAGTAGTTTCCACTGTTTGTTCATGTCTATCTGTGCAGTCTGCCTTTGCCCCTTTTGAATTTCCTTTTGAATTTCTAGGTACTTTGGACTGACCTCACCAGGAAGAAAGGAGTTTCCTGAAGAAGGAGTCAGCGGAGTGGGGTGGCCCTTGGAAGACATGGCATGAAATTTTCAAATTAATCTAGACAAATTTTCGTGGAAGATGTCTCTGTTCCTAGACTACTTTGGAAATCTCAGCAAGAATGTATTGTAAAAAGTTCAAGTTGTGATAATTCTTTATTTAAAATCCATATTTTTTCATACATTTTTGTATGTAATATGACCTCCAGCTCACATTTCAGACTTTCACTGTGTAACACAGCAATAGCTCGGAATAGCCATGCTGTACTAGTATCTCCTTAGAACTCGGTGGTAATAAACAGCATTGTGATCCTGCCTCTGAAGTCCGAGGGTAGTTATTTTTTATGGAAATGTATTTCTTGTTTTTGTTACTCTCTTGGCCAAATAGAGTTAAATGTTTCTTGACCAATGGGTGTAATAGTTTATCTTCAATGTGTCTATGTGAAGGGACTGGGGTGGGGTGCGCACATTCATGCATACGTTATGGGAAATGTTGGCCTCATAGTGGGTCAGGTAATATAACTTGGCATCTCAGTTGAACTAGGCAGTGTTCTGCAGGCAACAGTTGCAGATCCTCATTGAGTTGAATTTTGCACTTAAAAGAGGGCTTCAGCCTCTTTGTTATGTATGGAAAATAGAGCATTATCTTTCCCAAAATTACAGCTCGTACTCTTTGAGCATAGAATGAATTTTCTGAGAATTTACAAGTAAATCCATTGATTAGTATAGCAATTAAAATTATTTTTAAAATGGGTCTTTAAAAAATGTCCCACAGTATTCTTGTCAGCAAGTTAAGGAAGTATGGGCTGGATGAATGCACTACAAGGTGGGTAGAAAGCTGGCTAGATTGTCGGGCTCAACGGGTAGTTATCAATGGCTCCATGTCTAGTTGGCAGCCGGTATCAAGTGGAGTGCCCCAAGGGTCGGTCCTGGGGCCGGTTTTGTTCAATATCTTCATAAATGATCTGGAGGATGGTGTGGATTGCACTCTCAGCAAATTTGCGGATGATACTAAACTGGGAGGAGTGGTAGATACGCTGGAGGGGAGAGATAGGATACAGAAGGACCTAGACAAATTGGAGGATTGGGCCAAAAGAAATCTGATGAGGTTCAATAAGGATAAGTGCAGGGTCCTGCACTTAGGACGGAAGAACCCAATGCACAGCTACAGACTAGGGACCGAATGGCTAGGCAGCAGTTCTGCGGAAAAGGACCTAGGGGTGACAGTGGACGAGAAGCTGGATATGAGTCAGCAGTGTGCCCTTGTTGCCAAGAAGGCCAATGGCATTTTGGGATGTATAAGTAGGGGCATAGCGAGCAGATCGAGGGACGTGATCGTTCCCCTCTATTCGACATTGGTGAGGCCTCATCTGGAGTACTGTGTCCAGTTTTGGGCCCCACACTTCAAGAAGGATGTGGATAAATTGGAGAGAGTCCAGCGAAGGGCAACAAAAATGATTAGGGGTCTGGAACACATGAGTTATGAGGAGAGGCTGAGGGAGCTGGGATTGTTTAGCCTGCAGAAGAGAAGAATGAGGGGGGATTTGATAGCTGCTTTCAACTACCTGAAAGGGGGTTCCAAAGAGGATGGCTCTAGACTGTTCTCAATGGTATCAGATGACAGAACGAGGAGTAATGGTCTCAAGCTGCAGTGGGGGAGGTTTAGATTGGATATTAGGAAAAACTTTTTCACTAAGAGGGTGGTGAAACACTGGAATGCGTTACCTAGGGAGGTGGTAGAATCTCCTTCCTTAGAGGTTTTTAAGGTCAGGCTTGACAAAGCCCTGGCTGGGATGATTTAACTGGGAATTGGTCCTGCTTCGAGCAGGGGGTTGGACTAGATGACCTTCTGGGGTCCCTTCCAACCCTTATATTCTATGATTCTATGATTCTATGTAGAATATGTCAGATCTCCTTCCCCCCTGCCCCTCCCATGGCCATAAGGAATGAAACAGATGTCTGAAACTTCCCATATAGTTAAAACTCACTAATCTTGTCTGTAAGTGGCATATGAAGAATTTTTCGTTTAGAATTAGTAGTCATTTTTCCCTATCACTCTGCAAAACCAAAAATGTTTTCTACAGCTGAGGCTGAAGAATATTTTACTACAGAGAATTCAGAGTAGAACTGCACTTTCAAAATGACTGCCACCTCTTGTTCTCAGGGGACTAAGGCCACAAGAACCCTTGAGCAAACATGGCTGCTCTCTCTCTTCAGCTGCTCCTCAGAGATTTTTCCCTCAGCCTGCTGACAGCATAGGTGGTCAACATCTTCTCTGAAGGCAGCTTGGCTTCACTCTTGCTGGGAACAATGGGAAGCACTGGCCGTTTTGAAAGACGCTTAGCTGAGGGTAGCTCATGACTTCAGTCCCACTGAGAACAATGGGAGACGATAACCATTCTGAAAAAAGGATAAATCTTTGGGAGTTACCGTTAAGGAGAAGATTTTACGTACCAGCCTCAGCTGACAAAAGGGCATGGCTACACTTGCAGATATAGAGCGCTTTGAGTTAAACCCGCCTTCCGAGAGCGCAGTAGGGAAAGCGGTGCAGTCAGTCCCCAATGACAGCTGCAAGCACACTGGCGTGGCCACATTTGCAGCACTTGCAGCGGCATTGGGAGCAGTGCATTATGGGCAGCTATCCCACAGAGCACCTCTTCCCATTCTGGCTCTGTGGGAAGGGGGCAGGGGGTGCGGGGCATTCTGGGTCCTGTCCCAATGCCCCGTGATGCATCGGTTCGCATCCCAGCATTCCCTTTGCTTCTGTCCACATTTGGCGCCATCTTTCAACGGTTTTTGTACAACGCGCTCTGTCTTCCCTTTCGGTCTGCGGGAATGGAGCCCGAACTGCTGAGGAGTATGCTGATGAGTCTCACCAGCACGTCATGTTTGGCAGTCGAGTTATTCCTTATGATCGAAAGTGACAGTGAGGATTCTGACGATGATATCGACTCGAGTAACGCATATGACACAAGTTTGTTTTTGGCATTCACGGACATGCTCACCACTGTGGAACGCTGCTTTTGGGCTCAGGAAACAAGCACTGAGTGGTGGAATCACATCGTCATGCAAGTCTGGGATGATGAGCAGTGGCTGCAGAACTTTCGGATGAGAAAAACCACTTTCATGGGACTGTGAGGAGCTCGCCCCCACCCTGCGGCGCAAGGACACGAGATTGAGCGCTGCCCTGATGGTGGAGAAGCGGGTGGCTATTGCAGTCTGGAAGCTGGCAACTCCAGACAGCTACTGATCGGTCGCTAACCAGTTTGGAGTGGGAAAGTCGACCGTTGGAATTGTGTTGATGCAAGTTTGCAGGGCCATTAATCTCATCCTACTCAGAAGAACCATGACTCTGGGTAATGTGCATGACACTGTGGCTGGCTTTGCACAAATGGGTTTCCCTAACTGCGGTGGGGCAACAGATGTGATGCGTAGTCCAATTCTGGCACCAGCCCACCTAACCTCCGAGTACATTAATCGGAAGGGGTATTTCTCTATGGTTCTCCAGCACTTGTGGATCACTGTGGGCGTTTCATTGACATTAACGCAGGCTGGCCCGGAAAGGTGCATGACACATGCCTCTTGGAACACTGGCCTGTTCAGGCAGCTGCAAGCTGGGACTTTTTTCCCAGACCAGAAGATCACCATAGGGGAAGTCGAAATGCCCCTTGTGATCCTTGGAGACCCTGCTTACCCTTTGATGCCGTGGCTCATGAAACCCTACACAGGGAGCATTGACAGCAGCAAGGAGCGGTTCAACAACAGGCTGAGCCAGTGCAGAATGACTGTGGAGTGTGCTTTTGGCTGTTAAAGGGCTGCTGGCGCTCTCTGTATGGGAAGTTGGACCTGGCCGATGACAGCATCCCTGTGGTTATATCCGCGTGCTGTACCCTCCATAACATTTGTGAAAGGAAGGGTGAACGATTCACTCAGGCATGGAACTCGGAGGTTCAACACCTGGAGGCTAAATTTGAACAGCCAGAGAGCAGGGCTGTTAGAGGGGCCCCGTGCGGGGCTGCAAGGATTAGGGATACCTTGAGGGAGCAATTTGAGGCTGAAAGCCACCAGTAATGTCTGCTGCCCTGCATGGGAGTGAATTGTAGTGGTTCCAATGTTAGTAGGAATCTGTGTTTGCTACGCTGACTTGCAGTGCCTGTGTCTTTCCTGGGCTAAGGTATCTTTTACTTTATGCAGTAATAAAGAATGTTTTCAAAGCTAAAAAATCCATTTATTGAAAAGAAACACAACTTGCAGCCGGTGCTAACACGGATGGCTGAGATCTCAAGGTTGCATCTGTACAGGCAAAATACAACATTTCACAGAGGCAGCATTGTTCACACCAGACAGAGCAATGATTCCCCCGTACTTAAGGGCAAGCACAGTCTACGCAATGGCATAATTTGCCCGTCCCAAAGCAAGCACACACAACCCACGGGAGCCCCAAAATGGTGAATAAGCACAGGGGCAAGGGGCACTGATAGTTTCATGGCTGTACTGCCCTCTGGGTTTCTGTGCCTTGGGGAGAGCCAACAGTGGCAGGGGGCCTCTATACTGAACACTGTCCCCACATTTTCTACAGGAGTTTGTCCTGGAAGAGATCTCGCTGCTGAGGGTGACCTGGGAAGCAAGGGAGGGTCTTGTACTGCAATATGGCTTCTGCCCTGGCCCATATGCAGCTTGCCTGTATGCAGCAATGGTCCCGCCGCCTCTCATGGCACAGTGGCGCAGACAAGTTAGCCTGACTGGGACAAGGATCAATGCCCTATTCCGCATCTAGGCATGCATGCAGCCCTAACCCTCCTCGCCCCAAGAGCCCGCACCCAATAACTTCCTTCCCTAAACAAAAGCCGCTTACCGGGAACCTCCTCTGGTGTTTGTCCTTCCCCAAGCACCGGCCGCCGTGACTGGCTACCCTCCTCCTGGCTTGAGAACAGCTCCTGGCTGCATGCACCTAGGGATGCTGGGGTGTCTTCCTCCGCCGGAGCACTCTGGCTCCCGCTTTGCTGCTGCTGCTGCTCCTCCTCCTCCTGCCTTGTTGCATTGGCCTCTGAGGTGTCCATGGTGGTATTCGGCATGAAGGTGGGGTTGCCCCCAAGTATCGTGTCCAGCTCTTTGTAAAAACAGCAGATCGCGGGGGCAGCACTGGAGCAGCGGTTTGCCTCGTGGGCTTGTGGTAGGCGTTCCGCAGCTCCTTCACTTTATCCCTGCCCTGCAGTGCGTCCTGGTCATGGCCCCTTTCCAGCATGGCCCTTGATATCTGCCCAAAGGTTTCGTAATTCCTATGGCTGGAGCACAGCTGGGACTGGATAGCTTCC